AAGCAAGAAAGCTTCTTCTGAGCTACGGATTTTTAATACAGAGGAAACTTTTAACAAACCACTCAAATGCATTATTTTATTCATACAGAAGTCACTGTCTTGTCAGATACCATATGGGGCTAATATCTTCCGTTTCTCTGGAAGACAACTATGTAAAAAGGTTAGCTACAATATATCAAGTACCAACTGTTTAGGAATACAATGTCAAAAAAGATAAGGGGATGTAAATTTTCCAGTTTTGATAAAAACACATTAATTTATCAAATCATTTAGTTAAGATTTATTTTATAATATTTTGTAGATGGAACAATTAAGACAGTATTATATTTTTGCTATTTAAATTAATCTGTTTCATATGACAAAAAAAAAAATATCTAATTGGTTGAAGAATTCCCGGCATTAGGTCACAACTTTGCAGATTATTATAGAGGTGAAAATTATGCTATGATGATTACATATGCAGAAAACCTATATTCCAAGTGTTCTTGAATGTCTATGAATTTCAGATTTAAAAGATGCTAAGTACTATTTCTTGCCATGTCTAGCTACTTTGTGAGGGGAATACTACATAAGAGAGAAAGCATTATCGTGTCTGAGTTGCACTATTTGCACTAACTGCACTATAAGTGCAGATAGTTTGGAATAATTTTGCACATTGTACACAAATTTTTGGATGTTGAAAAAGTAACACAAATTGTTTCACATTTGGAATTCTACGCGCTCAAGGTTTCTAGTTGTTCTGTTGTATGGTATAAATAATTTTAACAAGCTGGACCACTGGAGGTGCTTACTATGCACAGTAAAGAACATTATCCTGGTGTACCTCTTGGCATCTGGCTAACATCTGTTGTTTATTCAGGAAGTTCAAGTACAATTTTGTAAGAAGCCACTCTTTCTATTATTCAAAATATTTAGTATTGATCTATTTCCTTCACGTGGTAGATTTTGAATTCAGAATGTGACGAAGTACTTGCTCTGAGATGCAAGCCATGAATAAAACTACTCTTATCAGGAATTTCAATGTGATTCAGTAAATAAAGAGTATTTAACAATCCCCTAAATATTGGCCTCCTTATCCTACATCAGAGTGAAAAAGATTGTTCTCAACATTCAGTCCTGTTATTACACCTGCAGTCTTCGAAGTTCTCCTAGCGTACGTGCAGTCTTCGAAGTTGTCCTAGCCTACGTGCAGCTGGAGTGCATTCAGGAGATAAGCACGTACTTCTTACAACAAAGACAAAAGCAATGAGAAGAAGAAACACATTAGCTAAGAGATAGAGAAGGGGGTACCGCTGCTTCTTTAGCAAGACAATACAAGTATTTTGTGTCACCGTGTGTGTGTCACCGGCTATTGCGTGCACGTCTGCCGCCTGTTGGCGAGGGGGTACTGTTACAAGAAAGCCAGGCCACCAAACGGTAGAGAGCGACTGCAGAATCCTCGGAAGGGGAAACTAAAGCAAGTTCCACTGATCAATGTGGAAACTCCACCCAGACTGGCAATATTCTCTTCACACAGCTGCAGCAATGGAAATGTCAAACATCAAGTTAAAGCAGGATAGCCACCATGCCCGACTGATGTTTGCTGATGAATTTAGTAAATTTTAATCTTAAAATACTACAATACAGAAACATGCTGTTACAGAATTCTGAGCGAAGAATAAAAACACAGAGCAGATGAAACCATTAAAAATAATTTAAAAAATCAAACCTTCAAAATGTTTTGCCGTCTAAGTTTGCTATCAGAAGTATCAAAATGTCAGAAAGAGGAAAGTGATTGACAGAATATGTCAATCTCAGAAAGCTACTTTAAACCATACAATACATGCTCAAAGTCAGGGCACACTATAAAAGGGAGATGAGCAGAATTTCCTGTATCCATGCAACCATTATTATACTATTCACACGTACTGCCCATTGCCACATCGTGATTAACAGACTAGCGCAATAAGGGAAAAGTTGCAATCAGGTTACATGAAGAGGACTGAATATCCCTGCTGATTACAAATGACAGCTGATTTTTTTCCAGTCAGGTCTGCACTTAGAGAATGCACTAACTCAGAGGATGGATAAGCCCTCCTTGGAAGTAGGAGGGCCAAACTCAGTGCCACTTTCTTGATCTGCGTGTGTATGGGATGTGAAGAGAGTTGTACTTTTCAATTAAGAGTTTACCATGATCCATCCTCACCACAAAGATCTGCAATGTGACACTGTAAATATTCTTAAAATATAGATAAGCACAGAGGTGCGTATCATCATCAACTCCACACTGAGTCAAAAGGTTCCCGCCAATCATTACACAGCACAGTGAAATGAACCACACACCTGCAGGCACGGAGACATTCGTAAACTGATGCTGGCTTTGAAATTAGAGAGCTAATACAAAAGCGTAGGGCTTAAAATGTGTTCTATTTGACTGAAGTCTCAAGTATTCTTGTTTCCTCAAGATCCACATTAAACTGAATTTCTACTGACCACCACTGAAGTTGCTAATAAATAACACTGCTCCAGTATATTAGATACTCATAAGTAAGTAAACAAAAATTAATTTTGAGCACATCACTTCAGAATTCTCTTTCACTGACACCGTTACGGTCCTGGACACGTGGGAAGCCTTGATTATCAGCATTACTTTTCCAGTTGGGTCTCTGCTTTTGGCATACCTTCTGAAAAATAGCTTTTCTGTACCTTTTTTCCTTCCTCTTCAAATGTCTTGTTTTCACCACTCTGAGCCCTCTTTTTCTTTGCTCCAGCAAAACTCCAACACAAGGAAAGATCACCTTGATCAATGAGTCCTGTCTTTCGCTAGAGACGTTAAGTCTGGTGGGATCTCCAGAAAAGCTATTTAACCACAGACCAGAAAATACTCCTGCCGCCACACCCTTCAGTCCACAAAAAACTTAAAAAGTCAGTAGCGAACTGCTACAGCCATAACTAAAATATGCCAGAGAAAAAAAGCGGGAGACAGTAAAGACAATCCTTGATGTCTTCAATTCCCCACTATTGCAGGAATACAATTAGATTCAATTTTCAAATATTCCTAGTTAACAGACCATGTCCGTGTTCCAGGAAACGCCCACCAGTCCTTGCCATTCTTGTATGAGGGAAACTCCTTCTTAACCTCAAATCTGGCCATGGGTTGAACACCAAGAGAATGTCCATGACATTTTTAATCATGAGTGTTTTAAACCACTGAGAGCTAGGCCAGACTTTGAAGTTTAACTTTTTTTGCTGTTTTCCACTGACACAACTGACTCCACCATAGCCTAATTCAAGCCAGGGAAGTTTGTAGAGTTTTTTCTAATTTCACACCAAGCAAACAGCTTTTAAAGAACTGCCCATACACTCATTTTAATTTTTAAAGTATTATACAAAGCATGGAATATAAGATACTCCAAGCCAGTTTGAAAAATAATTCCACCAACTACTTAATAAAGCTGCTCTTTAACATCAGTGCCCAATCAACTGGTGCTTCACAAACTTACCAAGTGATGATACAAAACCCACCAACCAATACTATCTATTATTAAATATACGTAATGCTTTCCCGTTATCATGCTAACCACATTAGGAGACAAATATCAACATTTTAATGGAGGCCACATTATGTCATAAATGACATGCAGTGCTTTGATGCATATAAAAAGTACAATTTGGAGAACTGAATTGAAAGTGAAGGTGCAATATACAGCTCTTAGGAAACAGCCAATTCCTAGAAATTGATCTGGCAAGCTATGTTCAAGGAATTTATTACAACTTCCATACTCTGTAAAGAAGTTTAAACATACAAGTTTGTGGGTTTTTTTGGTACTGAAAGTTTGCTATTTCAGAGCAAATTGTTTTCCAATTGCTCATCACTATACATCAATATAATGCTATAAGCCATCACTTTTCATGGTATAATGATGATAATACATTTTAAATTCTTTGATTAAGCCACTTGAGTAATGACAAAAAGATCGGACCTTTCCAAACATAAAAATACAATGAATCAACATCCATCATCTACAGAAATGGCACAAACGTCATTTAATGTGATCACATCAAACATCATCCATCATTCATCTGTAAATCCACTTCATCATATCTAATCCAAAACTCTGAGTATTAACAGTCAGCCTTAGAAAAAAACAAGTATTTTAGCAACAATCTATCACATGACAGACAGAGTATTTTAGCAACAATCACATCACATGACAGATACAAGTATCTACAGCTTGGGTGGAAATTAAGCACTGAATTTCTTTTGGATCAAAATTTAAATGTACCCTTCCATTTATGAAATTAAAAAATACTATGTTCCTATTGATTTAACTAACAGATATATAACAGAATTCAATCTTAAAAAGGAGAGAGGTGTGACTGACTTACCTTATGTTTTTTAATTTTTGGTTAGTAAATCTATTCTTCCAAGAGAAGCCTTTTCAAAAAAACTACAATTTCACTTCCAAAAAAAAAAAAAAGAGATAACCTTTTCTGACATCTTTACAAAGACACTAACATCATTTTGACAACAACTTTGTATTCTGAGCTGAAAAACAAAATCTGTATGACAAAAATGTAACAAATTTCTCATCTTGAAGGAAAACAGAATTCATATCCTTCTTGGAACTAGAAAACAAAACTAAGTCACATTAATACTGGATAAATACTAAGTATCTTTAAGGAAAAAAACCATCACATTGCTATTTTAGAAAGTGTACTCACAAAATGGTCATTAAAATAACTTTGTTTAGAAAGAAGTGATAAGTACATGTCATAAAATAGTAGAAAAAGGTGATTTTTTCAGCACTGAACCTATCGTTCACTTAATTAAAAAAAACTTCTCTTCATCTGAACTGTCTTCTATAGGTTTAAGTTTCTTAAAGGCACCATCACTACAAAAAATTGAAAATATTTTCTTAATCTGACAAAGATATAAGATGACAGAAAACATGAAGATCATATCTGTAGAACTGCAAGGGAATGTATATGCCTTAGAAACCACCTGAGTGAAAGGATACAAGTTTTGGTATAACGGGATTAATGATTTCAATGCACGGCTTGCATTTATAGCTGTTGCGCGAACCATAATAGGAAGAATTTTTCCATTCACAATAGCACCATCAAAGAGTGGACCAAAAAATGGAACCTGAATAAAAAATTAAGAAATTCGACATAAAGCAAGATCTTAGCTATAACAATTAGCAATCAACATTAACAATAGAGCACTCAAATATATCATTTTTTTTTCTCCTCACCGCTAGATAATCAGGCCAGTTATTGTGCTCCATGACAGACCTTTTCTCTTGTGGAAATATACAGCCATATAACTGCTTGATATCCTTGGTAACAGATAACACACCATTTGAAGAAAATTAAGCAACCATTTGAATACTGTACCTCATCAAAGCTTAATTCCAACATTTGCTGCCAAAATCCTAGGGACAGTCATGCATATGATGTTTATGACATTGAAACGCTAGATGACAATATTGTAGGTGGTAGTAAGCAAAAGGAATAATTACTCAAATTTTAAAATAATATTTATCATAAGGACCAACTCAATGTGCAACTGTCATACAATTACTGGTGGACAGACCCCCACCTTCCACTTTCTTTTCTTCTTCTATCTGTTGTTGTTCTTTTCTACGGTATCTATACAAGTAGATTATAAGCCCTTTACAGGAGAAATCGATGGTGAAAGGTTGGCCTCTTTGGACCCTAAGTGTAAAGCCTCATTTGCGAGAGCCATCGGAAACCGTAATGTTTAGTACAGGCAGCACCCAAAAGGTTTACAGAGCAGACGGATCTCTTATTTTGGCATGACATTTTTCTCTAAACAATCTTCATTTTGCAATTAAAAAAAAAGAAATTAAAACTCTATTAAGATCTTCATTTCCTGTACACGTGAATAAAGTTCTGAAGCCGCTAGTATAAAGCATATGAAGAGGAGCAAAGTTTGTGCAGCAGGTCAGCAAAGGGAGCAGAGTGTAGACTAAATATTCTCCCTGCTAAGATGAAACCAATGCTGCAAAAAAATTTTAGATCCCTATATTATTTCTGCCATCAGTCATTTAATGCAGTTTTGATAATACTGAAATCTGATGGAAGGCACTTCTTTTTTCACATACAAGGACCTCTTGGAGTAATAACAATCCCTGCTCTCAGTTTTATTTTTCCTTCTTAACCTGCACACCCCCAATAATGTAACTCTCCATACTTAAAGTAGTAAAAGAAAGAATATACTTATTAATTAAAACATGAGTAACCCACTAATAACAAGACCAGATACTGGGTATCATTTCATGCTGATCATCAGATAGAGGCATTCATCATATAGAGGGAAGCCTATCGCTGTCATACCACATTTATTAATATTAGTGCTTCTAGAAATAATTTTAATATTTAAAGGATAGTAATTCATGGCAAGTGACATCACACACAGAAATTATACAGTACAAACACTCATGACCACTTTTATTCAGTCAGTGCCTGCTATCCTAAACCACTGCTTTAAGAACAGGGCCAGCACAGACATTTGAGGAACAATCATGAGAATGAGAGTGTGTTCTTCTGCCTAAGACTTGGAACAGTCTTGCTTTGCTGAAATAGTCTCCAAATTCTTGTTTGGAGTCAAGGAGAAAGTGCAAACTAGCTTTGAGAAGAAGGAAGGGGAATATGACATGGATGAAGAAAGCTGGAGCACAATAGTATTATACAACTCCCACTGTCATGTATCAAATTTGATAAAAAAGTTTGCCAAGTTTATCTTAATACTTGAATGATTTCGTAGACTATTCTAGTTTTGTTTCCAGTTTATGATGTTGGCAGATATGCTTGACAGGATCAGGCCTTTGCAATTTCAAGTTACTGATTTTACTATGCATTGTACTCACTGAGTTCTTCCTCATCCTCCTACCACCACTGCAAATGTCACTGTTAAAGACACATCACCTAGGATCAATCTATTGGATCTGTTGGATCAATCTATTACAGCAAAAACTCAGATTCAAAACAACTCAGTTCATATTAAACACATGAAAGAAACAAAAGAAAAAACCCAAACGCTTACCTCAGGCTTTTTCATGATCTGGATACTGAACATATGGTTTTTCATGGGATAGATAACTATAAGAACATCACCAAATTCTGTTGGAATTATTCCTCTTCTATAATCTCGAGTATGCTCTGACCAAACAATGTGTACTTCATCATTTCCTAAATGTCTTAGCTGGAAAAGCAGGGATAAACAGCCATCACTTTAAATATATGCTATAGCATACAGCTATACTAAGTGCTCATATTTCAAAAGGACAAACCTACTAAAAAGAAATAAAGAAAAATGAATAAAATAACCAAACTAGACTATAGTTCTCTTACAATTTCAACAACAGTATTAGTTCGCAGTATTGGTTTGTGCTATACATTTTTATACATTGGTGGCAATGTCTATTTAAATAAATAGGTATGTCAGTATCTATTTTCTACTGAACGCTAAAATGTTTTTTATATTATTCTCAGGACTGCAGAGTCAATCAATCTGATTTACTAAAATGTTTTCAAGATTGCCATCATTGACAGGCAGCAAACTACTAAATTCTATGTGAATTTTTAAAGAATATGAATGAACATCAGTTTAAAAGCTATGTATCTGAGCAGTCTTAAACCTCACTGTTCTAGCCAAATTCCACACTACTACAAACAAAAAGCTTTTAAAGGAGAACAGCTACTGCATTTTCCATAGCCCCTAGATTAACTAAACTAAAAGCTCATTTACCATGAATTCTGTATATCTCTGTAAAAATAACTCACCCTGCCCCCCAAAAACCCCAAATGGCTTTTGATTTGTCGCAAAATGGCCAAATGCGTTCCTCAAAATCCATGCTGTATCCTCAGTTGTAATCATATAACCAGATTACGGAATATCTTGAACACTTCGGAATTATCTGCACTGAAGCTCCAAAATGCTCCTTCTGCTAAACATTACCATCTGATAATCAAATGTTAACATCATGGAGAGAGGCTTTACGTATACTGATCAAATACTTTCAGATTATTAAACAAGAGTTTCTTTCCATTAAGGGCTATTTCTGAAAATTCAAGCTGGCATCTCATTTTTTCCTCCTTGTGCATCACCAGTTATAGTTGACAATTGTCTTCACCCACAGTTGTCAGTTTGTTTGCACAGCTTTAGGTAGGCAGAATTTGTCAAACAATTGCCTTGATGTTATTCAAAGGACAGCACTGTGAACTGCTGTTAACAGGTAACATGCAGATACTAATCTAAGCACTTACAAGAAGTTATTCTATATAAAAAGGCAACAATTTTCTGTATTCATTTTCAGAACATAACTGCACTTTAAATAAAAGCAAAACATATACACAGCCATCGGAGAAATTTTATTGCAAGTATTCACTTGTTTATATTACAAAACCTCCTGGAATGCTATCTTTGTCTTATCTGAAAGCTTATACCTGTTGTCAGCAGCAGACTAAAAAAAAAAAAGGATAAAGGAAAAAAAGAAGCTGCCTCTGCTCTTCTCTGCTGGCTTTAAATTGTATCAGACTGAAAAACAGGGTTCTATTTCTACAAGAAAAGGACTTTCTTCAGTGTTGGGCTGGGCAAAGGACAGATGGTATCAATACCCTACATCTTGTCTGATGCTCAACAGGTCATTTGTTTTGCGTGGATCAGATCATAGATACATCTAATCTCCAAGGACTGCAGTTCCTTTGAAGTGAGCTGCTCTTGCCCCTTTTGTAGATGGCTGAATTATTTTGAACAACAGTTAGTTAGGGATGCTCTTGTGCCAACAGTAAACCCAGCCCAACAAAAGAACTGGTTGTGACAACATTTGCTATGCTGAGTTTTATTTGACTAGATTAGCACAAAACCAGGCAGCAACCTGAATGGCTGATGTGCAACATGCAAACGCCAGCTGCAAAAACCTTGGATGACACTAGGCAGTGATGAATGTCATAAAAGACAACCAACTGTGGAATTGTTCTGAGGGCCTGAATCTCTCCTACCTTCCGCCGTGAAGTAACAGTCAAACTATCTGTTGAAATACAACAACAAGAGAAGGGCATGAGGGACTGATGAGCCTGCACCTAGAAGCAAGCAAAAAGCTCAGGAAGGATGAGGCTGCGTAACCAAAGAGAAAGCAAGAGGCAAATCAGTTTAGATATGAAATCTCGTGGAACATGAAAAAACTACATGATCCTAGATTGAGGGGTGGCCATCTGGTGCACTGACTGAACTGAACTCATCGAAGTGACTGTGAAAAAGAAGTAGGACTGATATGCCCATCACCGCACTGCACCATTTCTAATTCAGCAATATTGAACTATTTACTACAAGAATCAGCCCTCCTTTACTTACTATCTTTGGACTCAAAGACAACAAACTCGTACACTGTTAGAAACAAGGATGGTGACAGTGTGCATACCAAATAAATGGCTTTAAAATCCAAAACATATAGAAAGTTTAGATAGTGCAGCTTCTTGAGGGCATCACTACCTCTGAATTTCATTTATCAAAGATTGCCGCTGTGTAGCTGTTACTGATACCTGCAACTAATCAGACAGGACATCAGCTCTTTCACTTCTGTGAAAGCTACCCAGATCGAGCATCGTTAGTGATGCCACGCTTTCACATCAGACTGACACAGATTATGGTGTGATAAAGTGTATTGTGTGGTTATTTCAGGAGGAGGACTACTGACAAGGGACACATATTTTTAGATGCCAAGTGTACTGAAGCTATTATTGACTTTTTTCTCCAATTTCTAAGTTTGCTTTATACCCCCATAGAGGCGTGAGAATACATTCCATGCTAAAAGCACTAACTTCTTCAGAGGAAAAGCAAAATGAATCGGCCTATTTCAGTAAGTTCCAAGTCCTGTCAGGTGTGTTTCACCTCACAATTACTATCAAGAGTGATGTAACAAAGATCCAGTTCAAGTAAAGTGTAGAATGGCATCTCGGTGACATATAATGGACTGCGAGTCAAAGTCAGATGGTGCAAGTAGGTGGATGATGGTATAAACTGTGAATGATGCTTTATAACAAGTACTCAAGATCAAAACTATGGTCAATGTCTTGTTTCCATTATAAGAGGTAGAAGACTGACAAAAATCATAGACAAGTAAACAAGATCGGGTGTTGCTGTCTTCATCTTTATGTTTGGAGAAGAACTAAATTCTGAATAAGTCATTCTGTTCCTTTTTCAAGAGTAGATTGGAAGAAGCTCTGACACTAACATAGTGCTTCTTATTGCTTCTTTCAGATGTCCTCACCTTGGTCAGCAAGCAAAGCTTATGAGAAAGCTTGAACAGTGGTAACTTGACTCATCAACAACACTTGACTCATGGAAGAGATCCAATTCTGAAATTGTCTTGAAAGGCTTTCCAAGGTCTGCTAAGTTTTGCACAAGCTTTTCAGAAAGAAGAATTTCAGTTTTTCTCCTTCATTTTTCAGTTCCCTATTGAAGTACCTTGAAATTGAGCGCTGCTCCACAACAAAGCTCTCCTGCAAGCACAGCAAATGTTTGGAGAATCCATCATTCACTGTAATTATTACACCAGAATCAGAGCGTGACCGCTTTCAACTTTGATCTGGATTCTTTATGTCTTTGTATTGAATTGAATCCCAGAATTCAGGGTCCCGGACACAAGTGGTACAAAGATACTGAGCTACAACCACCTCTCCTCACTGAAACCTAAAGGACAGAGAGCGACATGTGTTCCCAAGAAGGTGTGGTCTCAATGTTATCTCACAGAATCAGATTTGGTGCACACAGAATGGACAGGTACCAAGACTGAAATCTGTGTTAACGGTACTCAAAACTCGCCACCAGCTGTGTAAGCCAAGTACATCTTCACACTCATTTCCTGACCTTGTCTTCTTAAATTTACAACTTTGTTTGTGCATAAATCACAGTAATCAAAACAAAGTGCAAATACTTGTTAGAGACCTAAGACACAGCAATAATATAAATAATAAAAATCTCTAAAATAATGTTATACTTCAAGTAACCGGTAATACACTATAGCTGAAACACCTGGAACTACAGGTTACATACCAATATCCTAAAATGCTAAATACTGCATAAATGCAGATCAAACTGCTCTAGAGAGTTTATTATCTAAACATAAGACAATAAAAATGGAGATGGACAAATGCAAAGAAACTGTAAAAAGGCATTGAAGGTTAAAAAAATGTCTTTTATAGCAGCATTCTTCAAGAATGAAAGGCAGAGAAAGGAAGGTTCAGCAATCAAAACAACAGTTTAGGATATAGCGGATAAATTTTAACAGTGTGTATGGAAAGGCTATGTTGCAAGAAATGTTACATAGAGAAAAGAACAGAGTCTTAAGCACAGACTGAATGTAAGAATCCAGAAAGTGGACCAAATTAAAGATGATTTCAGGCTATGGGCACAAGTGACAGGCACAATGGTCATGTCATCTGTGGTGATCCAGAAAGGTGGCAATGAGAAAGAGATTAAGAGCTCTGTTTTAGCCATCTTGAACCTGAGCTGTCGGGAAGACAGCCCTGAGGAGATGTCAGAGACAAACAGATTTTTTCAGGCTTGCTTTGAAACTCTACTCCATTAAAACAAATATATAAAAATGACCTACTGTTAGGTTACCTGAAATTTCAAATTTAACTCAAAATACTTTAAAATATTCTTACTCTGTAGCCATCATCATGTGTCAGCTCTCCTAATACATTTATGTTAACTGAATACAAAAGAAACGTGAAATAAATATAACCAGAAGGGATGATCAAATCTAATTTTGATACATTAGTGTCATATGCTGTACATGTTACAATAGCAGCCAGACTTAATACTAAGCTGCAGGCTATACTGAAATTTCCAAATGGCAGATTGTTCTAAGTGATACCAAGTATAATTGAAGTAATAAACGATAGTAAAAGCAAAGCACACTGTCAGGAAGAATTTAAGTATTTACTTTTTAAAATTAAATGAGTTAGGTTTGGAAAGGCAAGACAAGTGAAATAATGCAGGGCTCAATTTACAGAAAATTCCTTTTATTTATCTGTTGCATTAACCCTTGAACTCTTGCCAAAATTACCGTAATTTCTAATACCCACTTACCTAAAGGAGGGACAAAAAAGGCTATTATATTTTCTTATGATACAACAGCTAGCCCCAACTTTTTTCTTCTGCAAAAATGAAAATGTTCATTATAGAAAGAACAGAAGGACCTGAAACATCTGAAGTAATGTCTTACTGCTCTACTTTTGCCCGTTAAATGTAAGCAGCATTGCTGTCTACAGCATATGTGCCTCCTAGTTGAATTTTTCACAAAACTTTGTTTCAACAACTATGGTGTGGGGTTTTTTTTCAGCCACACGTGTACTTACTTGTGACTCCAAAAAAAAAAACCAACCCTACTAATAATTTACATCTATAAACCTTCAAGTTCCCCATACATGCTAATATCACAATAAAAAAAATAGCTATAAATCTTTTATGTGGTTGGATGATGTCACACATAAACTAGAATAATGTAATACACCCAAAGCCCACAATGATGAGTATTCCAATCATTTGTAACATTACTACTTTTCATTTATTTATCTTGTGTATAATATTCTCACCTACAATGCCTTCACTCCTTTATCAGGCTAAGGAAGGAGGAGTTAGACAGATGATAATCTGTAGAGGCACATGCGTGAGCTTTCTCACTCTCTGAACTGAGAGTCTTCACAGTTTCATTTATAATCCTGATATTTTCTTGGCAAGTTTGTTCTTTTAGGGGTAGTGCAAATACTTTTTACTCTAACCTTTAATTCTAAGAAAAACAAAATAGATTGTATTATCAGCATTAAATCTTTAATTTACTATTTGCAAATTAAATACCTATTTTATATGTGCATTTCAATGTTAAGTTCCTTTACACATTCAGAATATTTCCATCTGTTCTCCCTGAATTCACGTCTTTTCTCGCTCTTTTTCATGTCTTCAGAAACAAATGCTTCAGAGGTATCCAAGTCACTTAAAAGTTTTATTTACTACTCTGTAAGACTGATGGAAAATAAGCTTAAAATTGGCTTAGCCTCTGTAACAGCAGAATCTTGATTTTGCAGCGGTTGGACTGGCAGGAAGAAGTTTTGTTTTAATTTAATTTAATTTCCATTTATAAGATGAACCTATCATGCACCTCTAGGCACATTTACGATAGCAGTTCTAAGCCAACTACTGCAAGTTTGCTTGTTTCTCCCATCAAATGAAATAGACAAAGAAAGCACATGAAAGACCTGTACAGAAGCTCAAAACTCAAGTTTTTCTGGAGGTCATGAACAGTACATGCACTCAGAACAATGACAATTGTTAGCACACACAGAGCTTTCAAATGATTTTGATGTCCACTACAGTATATGTGAGCTAGACTGCATCTCATAAAATACATTCCTTTTGCTGATGTGTTCAGTCTAAACAGCACAAGTAGTTGCAGAACTAGTAAAAGAGTTAAGCTTGTTTTCCTACTCATGTCTCCTGATACCACTTGCTTGTTTCTCCCCAGATGCAAACTTCGGTTGATGCTTTTCTCAAGTTTGGGATGACTTTCACAGCATCTCTCTCTGGTGCTGGTTCTTTGATGCTTCTTCCCATGCAGTCTTTACCTACTGAGTAGAAGCGCTAAGAGCCTCTCTCACGCTATCTCCTTTACATAGCCTGTCTTCATTAAACATATAGGAAATTAACACCTTTGAAACATATCTCTAGAAATTCAATTGAAATGGGCCAAAAGGTGTTGGGGAAAGGACGAGAGACATAAAGGCCAGGTCACAAGCCTCCATTCATTGAGAAACTGGGCTTAAAAAGAAGTACAAAACCCCCACACCCAGGAAGAACAGGAAAGAAAGCCACAGAGAAATAAAGCAGCTTGATTAAACAGCCCATCAGCAGCTGAGCTACAAACGTTAACACCATTTTTTTGATACACTCTACATATCCATACAGACCTCAAATATTCTAAATTACTGAAGAGTGAGATTTTGGGTAAAGGAGGAGAGAAATAGGCCTGGGGCAAGCTGGAGTTGTTAAAAAGTCCAGCTGACACCATTTTCACAAGCTAAATCACAGAAGGCCTGGACCAGCACTGAATCTGGTCTGGCAGGAACAGCTATATGTAGATTCAGGGTGCTCCTGGAAATTCAGGAGATCTCACCTGTGTGTTCTGCTGAAGTCCACAGCATTTGCAAATTATTTATTATTAATTAATTTTCACTGTGACCAATCTTCCCCCTTGTCAACACTTTTTAATGCTCTAATTCAAACAGACTGTAAACAAACATTGTAAGGATAATTACAGGCTATATTTTAGAAAACTAAGTTTCTGTTTAAAAAATACAGAAGCCAGTCAACTTAGAAAAAAATATATATACAGATTGTTCTATACTAGAACAACAGCAACCATCTTATTTTAAAATTAGTTATTTTTGCTATTAAACAACCTAAGTATTACCCCGGCTCTGCTTCAGGAAATAAAGAATAGAAAGGACCCAGCACCGTTGGCATACAAGAAAAAAAAATTTAATTAAAAAAAAAAACAAACCACCAAACAAACCAACCTAGGATGCAACCGTGAGAAGTCAGAACTCATAGTCAGTCTGTAATAATAACAATAATATCTTTTTCTTCAAGTTGAACACAAAGAACAAAAAAGTCATTAATAATTGAAGCTTGCCAGAGGCATGGCTATTTCTCTCTTTACTAACTGTCTACTGTCTAATTTAATTACAAGTATTAAACTCCATGCTGAGGTCAACCAGCTTCAGTTCCTCCAATATTACACTTCAACCAGTGCTCATTAATGTGTCTACTGAATGGATTAGCACATCTGAAGATGTATGTACGCAGAACGGGGGACAGTCTAATGATAGCCAATTGTTCATTTATAATAGGACACATGTTCGAGACTGTAACTTATTATCACTAACGTGGAATTTATTAAATTCTAAAGAAAAAAATACCAATACAGAAAACCATTTTTTTCTTAATATGGCTATGAGAGATCTTATCACTGTTGAGCATTTCTGCGTTCTCTAAGACAAAACACTTTATATACAATAAAAATTGTCAAATTCTTAATATTTTTAACTTTTTTTTGGAAGGGAAAATTATGTTAATAGACTGCACGTGACTCTGAATAAAAAGTCATCTCAGAGAGTACTCACCACATATTTACTAATTGGCATTTGAAGTCTCAAAGCATTAAAACATCATTCAGATGTAATGCTTTTTCTTCTACACAAACCATTATCTCCCTTCATTTTTTACCAGTACACACGTGACCCTGCCAACATTTGCAATGATGGCAAAAATCACCAGTATGGCAAAATTAGAAATTGATAGAGAATCATTTATATGGCTTAACCTACTTCAGTAAAATACCAACTATTAACAGGTATTATGATTATTTTTTTTTTTTAGAAAAGTTACCTGATTTTCTTTGACTCTAATTTCTCTGTATTCACTACCAAAACAAAATCTGTTACGTAGAAACACCTACCTTTTTTGTTAAAGAGTCATCTGAATCAGAAGGCATTCTTGTTGACACATGGAACATTACTTCTACTGTCGAGGTAGCAAAATATGGAGTGGTCAATCCAGTGCTTTTGTTTTTTTGCAGTCCTCCCATAAAGCCACAATGGTTTGTAAGATTTACCTAGAAGTAAAGCCAAGGAAGCATTAGGAGGAAATAAGAAAATCGGGTGATAAATACATTCTTTACCCAGAATTTTTTTTTAAAAGGCACTTTCAACTGAATTTTTTAAAGTGAAGGTTCTTTTCACAACAGTACAGTTATGCTTATCTAAAACACCTCAGATGTGCTGCCTAGACTGAAAATAATCAACTGCAGTGCAGTGACATTCTGTATTCCAAGGTCACTACAGATGCTGCTAGGAAGCCAAGGTCAGAGAAAGAGAAAGGTTGTGCAAATGAATATTTAGTGCGGTATTCCCTGATCAGTTGACTGGAGTAATTTACATGTGCTTTTTGAATTTTTTAAAATTCTGTGATCATCAGCCCCGACCTGAGCTCTGAAGAAACCCTGCAAGACGGCCAGACAATTTTAATTTGCCCCGTTACCTTCCATATCTTTTCCTAAGAAATTTTCATTCTATGAATATGAAAAAAAAAATCACAGGAGACTAACTGATAATTCATAAGTTAGTTTTTAAGTCTTAGTTCTATGGGAAATAGTTTGACACTGAAATAAATAAGCATGCTTAACGTGCTATTTCAATTTTACAGCAGTGCCTAAAGAAAGTTTATCTCAGATGGGATGTATTTGCTTTTATGTTAATGAAGGATCCAGAATTTAATGTTAACACGTTAAAATATTAGATGTCTTATCGTGGAATATTAATCCAAATTAGCAATTCTTTAATCTAGCTAATAAAGGCTAAGAGAATTAACCCACTAAAGAAGGATATCTCAAGACACTAATGTGATTCTGGTTTCTCCTGAAGAATCAGGAATGTGAGAAATGAACATCTACGTTTGTGACAGTCAGCCGACTTCTAGCAGTTTTCCTCTGTTCCTGTGGGAAAGTCAGAGCCATTACCCACGCTGCTAACCTAGTAGTGCTCTTATATACCTAAGAAGTAAGACAAAGAACAAGATGGACACTCATGTGGACGCTCCTGATGAACACAAATCGCCAGAGGAACAGAAAACCTGCACATTCTTATGCAGCCAGCCAGGAGCAGGACCGATTCCTGTACTTCTGTGTGGCAGTGCCAAGTTGAACTTTACAACTGAGGTTAATCCTGTGCGGTCGGAAAGAAAGGATGCAAAAAAGGAAATCCTCGTAACAGTATCTAACTAGTGACTGAAGAGTTGCAGGTCCATGTTGATGATGGTGTACATCACAGTATTTCTAACTGCTAGAAGAGACATGGTGTGGAGTGTATGAACAGATACATGCCTGCGGGGGAAAGTAGCAAGAAAGGAGCATCAGAGAAGCTCACTTTTTCTTTTTTGGATTCCCAAATTTGAGCAAATCTCAAATTTCAATGGACTTAACACGTTACAAGCTTACAGGCAAATCAATATGGCTCCTAATCAGTCCATGAAAGCCACGTACAGGATTGCACATTAAATAATCACCTCTGCCTGTACAAACTTTCTTAAATTGAAAGAGCTTAAAATTAAAGAGCTAATATTTATAATAAAATTAAAACCAGAATTCTTCTCTACATCCTCTTGCAAAACAGTGTATTTCAGTACTTGTAAGTAATGCTAAAGAGACAAAGACTTAGAATATCTAAAGGGATTTGTAATTTTCTCTGTAAACAAACTTAGGATAAAAACGTTTTAATAAATACCTCCCAGCCAAGACCAGCTACAAAATCCTCATAGGCTTGACTTCCCCCAGTATTAGTAAGAATGGAGTGTTTATCTTCTTGTCCTTCAGCAACATAGAACACTGCGATCTTGTGTGTCTCTCGGCTGTAAAACAGAGGATGGTCACTGCACGACAGTGCCTTTACTAATACAAAACTAAAATGTGCAAACAATACACACACAGCGCATGGCTTTTAAAAAGATAGTGGAAGAAAAGTACAACTATATGGCTTCTTTCTGAATACCTTTTATATTTCCATATTCCCATTCTCTTCTAGTCTGGTCACCTCTCTAAGTTTTGCTATACATGAACAGCATTTACCCCTTTCATCACTTCTAAGATGTAGGATGGTGCTGGCAGTACCAATTGCTAATGGAGTTAGCTGGGCCTCTGAAATGAGCCAAACCTGCAACACAGGCGTTATCAACACTGCACTGCCCATTAACAACACTGCCATGTGAATGCTGTGGCAAACACATCTTATGCAGCTGAATCAAGAATCTTTAAGTACTACAAGCATTGTCTTCTGTTCACAGCTTGCTGTGAGACACTGGAGCAACTAAAGGTGGTTTCTCACACTTCTAAAACCTCCACTGGATTTTATTTCAATTTCTACAAAAACAATTAAAAGTTTCTAATTCTGTACTAAAACTCCAACTAGAATGCCATGTCTTCAAATACTAACTGCATTGGAAAACAGCTAAACGAATAGCCAAAGCTTAAAATGTGGAGACTTTTATATATCAAGGTTTAAAACTACTACATGTTATGCATACAAATGTTCACAATTTTAAGTTATTCTGAAGTTTGTTATATCCCATGATATTCTACTTGTAGTTTCACTCTACAATTAACACCAATGTAACTTCAATATAACACCAATAACTACAATACAGTGCAAAAGACATTAATAATTTACAAAACTATTTCAAAAATTAGTTCAACTCTTACATCTACGCTATTAATGCCATCTAAATACAAGCACACTTAAAACAAATAAGTAGGCAGCCATTAAAAGAATTTACCATTGTCTTGAGTCCAAATTTCTGAGTTCTCGAAGTAACTTCTCATTTTTCTTCAGGAGATGAAAGCTCCTTCTAAACAGAGAAATTTGTAACTCTTATCACCTGTTCAGTGATGGATACAGAACAATACAAGAATGGCACAAGAACATTTCCAGGTCCATTCAAGAACAGTCAATGAATGCTTTTGCCTTTTCAATAGTCCTTTCTTATACAAAATATTAAGATATCTTTTTAAAAAAAATATACAAGCAATTTTTTTTTACTCCAGGAAATCTTCTATATCTATTATAGCTCTGAGTATAACCTTTACTTCTTCCCACTTTCTTCTGTCAAACTATTGTATTCAACTGCGATCAATCTCTTCTCTACAGAAGAACAGACAGAACTTCATGTGACGCATATATAAGCTGCACACTTTACTAGGCCATAATATATATGCTTAGTGACAAAAGGTACTTCCATAATCTACTGTCTTAAGGAGTTAGTACATTAAACATTGAGCTTTTACTATTCTGAATTGCAGAAGAGAGCAGAACACAGCTCACTAGTCAACCACCCAGCTGTAACAATTTAAAGAAGAAACAAAACAATATGTTAGAGCAAGAAAGGCACTTTTCATTTCTTTTAAACTGCACTCAAGATGTTTCCCACAAAACACAGTGGAACGAGTTTAAGAGCAGTACTGTTCAAAACCAGACTGCCTTGAGGAATTAAAGACCCAAATAAGAAGGGTTATAGCACCAAAATTTTGTCTGATTCCAGGGACACAGATTATTTTTTTTTTCTACAGAGTACCCATTTCCCTTTACAGTAAGACAATAGTTTGATGCCTCTAGTAAGAATTTGACAGCTATGGTAAAACAAGATTTCAGAAAGACCCTTAAATTCTAGGATGCTAATATTTGTACATGCCCACAGGTACATGCATACACCTAACCACACCCCCACAAAAATAATGTAAACAGAGACACTACTTTTGTGACTGAACCTGCCTGGTCTGCTGTTGTTCTAAACAATACCCAAACATTGCCAATGCTGAAATAAATAGCAGGGGACGCATCTTTCTCATTAGCTAACACAGGTGCAATGCTTTGAGGCTGCATGCAAGCATGCTCTTAGCAGGCAAAGCAGCAGGACACTGTCCAGCAACACAATAGCTGAGAACACACTTCAAGTCTCATTCTAGCACAGAAAGGTAATGATTTTTGCAGGAATATACATGAAGCAAAGAAAGCAAAAAAGATGCTTTCTTTACCCATGGTAGTACTCCTTAGTACAGCTGGTGAAAGGATTATTAGAAAAGATATCACTCCTTCAATTCACCTTCCAACACTGTTCTAAGGAAAGAATATAAACAGCAATAAAAGCAACAGGTTCCTCCTTTCTGTCTCTCTAAATGACAGGTTGAAACGCAGAAGAAAACTGCCATTTTCCCCTTAGTTGCACATCCCTTTTCCTCTTTTGTTGGCTGGCCTGGAGTATTTTTGGCTTAACCTGCTCTATGATCAACTATCATTACATGGTAAGAACAGCACAATTCCTTAAAAGAAAGTTCTTAAATTGTGAGTCTTTTCTCTTTACCTTTTATCCCAAGAATTCATTCCCAGTATACTGAGAAGTAATCTGCAGTAGTAAAATGCTGACTGGGGCTTTTGTGAGGTCGGCTCATCCTGTTCCATAGCCCTCATATTTAAATCATTGAAATGCTTTTCAACAAACTCCCTCTCTTCTGTGTGCTGTTTCAGAATTGCATTGATGACATCGTTCTCCTGCTTCTCTGAGATGCAGACTGGCTGAGGGGCAGGAATGTTGAGTGAGACACCAGTTCTCTGCAAGCATTCAGGGCTTGTAACACCCAAATACTGCAGGAGCTCATCAAGGGCATCTTCTTCATCCCTAATGGTATCCCATGTTGGTACAGTGTCTCTAAATTTCCTTTTTACTTGGAGTGTAATTCCATCCCTTGCAGATACATCCTCCACATGCTCAAATGATGAAAAAGCATCTTCTGGTTTGTCTTGCTGAGACAACGAAAGTGCAAAAGAAGTCTGTTGTGAAGATCCACATAAAGATGACGGTCCATACAAAATGGCCGAATCCCACGAGTATTTGCCAGATAGATCACGCACTATAATTCTAACATTTGAATTAGCAGATGCAAGTCCAGCAGACAGTCCTCCTCCAGGCATGTCATCTTCTGCTTGGATTTGTATGCAAGACACCAGGGAAGTATTGTTTAACACAAAGAACTGAAGGTTTGGGTTCTCAAAAAGTTCAGGAGAAAGTTCAGGACTTTCACTGTATGGATTGTCGTTGTTTTCACACACTTGACTGGTTAGCATAGCAGGACCTCCACTCATAGGATAGTGGCCTAAGTGGTTGACTAGATGTGTTATCACAGTACGAGCAGCAACAGAAATTAGTCCTTGTTGCATGTGAGTTTTCACTGCAAGAGAAAGAACACAGGTTTTGAAAGAAGAGTTCAGAAAACAACACAGATTTATGTATTGCTTTTGGTCTCCTCTTCTTTGTGAGTTTTAAACAGAGGATAAACACTGCAAGGTTAGGATACAGCCAACTCACTAATGGAAAATATGTATTTTGATGAACACTGGTCTCATCTATGAATAGCGTAAAAAATCATAAGATAGTTAAAGAAGCATATTCATTATTTTAGAGCCTACTGTATCTCCTTTACCATAGCTTTGTAATCAGCATGGTTCTTCTAACATACAAAAATTTCTTAATCTAGTGAAAATAAATCTTGAATTGCTGATGAAGTAGAGATCACAATTGTGTTGTAAGAAGTTCATTTCCAACTGCAGTGGATTTTTATATTTATACACATCATTACATTCTGAAAAACAAAGGAACATAGATGCACAAAACCTCTAATCCATCTTAATTTCCCTGGGGAGCGTATAGCTGTAGGTTCGGTTGAGAATAACACTGGATGATTTTAAAGTACCAAGTCAAAGACTGGGCTACATTGAACACAATCTAACAGTAGCAAAATTTTCAAAAAGCAAATGTCATGCCCCAACTGCATTTTAAGACGTTTCAGGCTGGAAAAACTTGGAGGGAGAAATAGAAGTTAATTGTGCCTATCTTATATGAAATTAACCTTGTGAGATGCACTGGTATTTCAATATGGTTTTGCCACCTCCTTTTTTGTTGCATACCTTCCACTCGCATGCCATTTTATCTAAATTCACAAAAAGAATTTCTTAATGTTTATACCACACCCTGCTCACCCAGTACTTTCTTGTTATTGGATTCTTCTATCAAATCCACTCTACATTACCCATGAAGTACAAAGTTGCTCAAAGAGACTGTCAGGCAGACAACCCTCAACCACTCAGAGTACCCGCTGAAGAACCCATACATAAAAGTATTACACTGTAGAACATCGCAGGTAGAAGAGAAAAAAGGATCAATATGACAAAGCACAGATTTCTCTAGCCTCGCTTTTTTAACAGGACCTGGATGACCTGTATTTGGAATTTACAAGGGGAAGATAAATCAAGACTGTATTCCTCAGGATTACATCATATATTTTAAACTATATTAAACATTGAAAACTGCTGCAAACACTTCCCACCTTCTTTCTCACCAAAAATTAGATCAAACTAGAATGTTCTGAACCACGTTACTTTTTCATTCAGTATTTACTGAGAGAATATAACCTTTTGGATGTGTAAGTATGGTATAATGAACTCATCTCCCTTTATATTGTGTATTTATACGCAATAAAAACTAATGTTTAACAAACATTTATTTTTGCAGTTTAAGGCGTCTTAATTGGTTTAACTGGAAAAATAAAGGCAAATTTGTAATGCATACTGACTGTCATGACAGATCTTTAGTTTCTGATGCACTGGATGCATTCTCTGTCTGCAAAAGTAAACGATTAATATATATTTGCCTCTTTTTCCCCACAAGGTTTGGGTAAAGCATGTAACAGACATCCGGGATTCTGGCCCTTCTCTACCTTTAGGGAGCACTAGATCTGAACTGCAAAAAGGGAAACATTTCATCCTGTTAATAGGTGGCAAAATCAACTTAATTCTTACGCTACTCCCAAACTCAAATATTTTGATAAATTAAGGCCTTGAAAACTAATATAAACAAATTAGATATTTTATTTTTATTACCTATAACATTCTTGAGGTTTAAAAATTTACAAACAAAAACATTCTGTGAAGATGAATTAAATGTCTGGCTATTGACGGCATACAAGGAAATTAAGTTACAGTGCCATCTGCTGAAACATAAGAAGGATCTGTAGGCAAGTTTATACAAGACAAAGAGAAAACAAGTTGGATGCTTGAAGAATGATTTATCAGTGTGGTATTAACCAGCACCTGGACAATGCAGAGGCTGGGTCATCTCTGTCAGGACATTTATGCCAAGTGTTTAGCACTTGGCAATGCACAGGTAAGTATGGTAATGCCCTTTTCAGGTTCCTAGGAGCAAAGACACATGAGCCTTCCAGCTACCTGAAGTCTCTCACACTGTGTAGGTTAAATACCTTCAGTTAAGTTCTGCAGCAAAACCTGAAGAAACGAGAGGGACCTATTAGCATATAAGTTATTACTACTACTGCTTTGTGGCAAACCCTATGGATCTCAAACCTGACCATGGTTGCATTGTACCTTTGTACATTAATTTACTCCCTTAGGAGCCTAAGGGACAAGAAAGGTGATACAATGATATAAAGAGAGGAACATCGAGTTTACATTTGGAAGGTTCATTCCTAGTCCTTCCACAGTCTTTCTCTGAAAATTTTACTCTCGAATAAAAATGAAAAAATAAAAGAATTGGGATATGAATCTGTCATTGCCTCTTTGATAAAATGAGAACAGTGCTTCTCATTAAGTGTTCGCTTAGAACACAGAATTGTTGATCTAAAAATGACATCAAGAACTTAAATCAGAAGTCTTAAGAGAAGCATACTGAAAAGCAAACTGTAAGATGTAACCTGTTATGTTGAAATAAAATAAAGCAGTCTCAAAACATTTTTGCCACACAGCAAATCAGATTTTGGCAATGGCTTCCCTTAGCAAAAAAAAAAAAAACAAAAAAAAACCAAACCCCAAAAACCCAACCAACCAACCCAAACCCAGTAATGCTTTTTGAAAATATGAGTTTTAAATTAAATTCACAACTTAAAGAGTACATAGTAGTAATTTGTTCCTAGAAGCACATCTCCACAATCAGGCATAACCGGGCATTCAATATATTGGAATTCTTAAAATGAGTATCTAAACCATGCTCTTTGTTTCTGGAGGGCAGATCAAAATATGCAATAATGCAAGCCATCACAGCTTTACCACAAATTCTACAAACTAGCCATACCATTACATATTAAAGCAGTCTAGCTGGCTGCTTTGCCAACCTCTCTTCCTGACTGAACATATCTCTGCTCTCTTCACTACGGTACAGTCTTTTGCTTGGGCATTGTACTTTGTATGTGTACATGATCACTTGGTAATTTGCTTCTAGCATGTTACATTGGCTATTTTTCTCAGTCCCTGAAATTACCTCTTTTGTGGGAAGGCTGAAGGTCCACAACCGCTAATTTGTATCAGTGACATGAATGGAGGATTCCTGAATCTCCTTAAGATGTGCTGTTAACTCTTTAATTCAACTTTGGCTGAACAGCTTTAAACAGCTACAGTTATGTAGTAAAAGAGAAAAGTAATGACAGAGGGTGGAATATCTCTCTCACCCTTTTAGCTATCTAAAGAATGATGCACCTGTACAGACTGATTCATCTCAGTTATAAGCCCAAATTGGAGAAACGGGATGAATCACTCTGGAAACTCTTTTCTTTCTCCATTATTTTTAGAGGGAGCATAAAGAGTCCAGTTCAGCTTAGCTGTATTTTACATTTGCTTAAGGAAGTCTCACTGCTTTCTAATTTTAAGTTTCAGGTATAGAGAGATGGGGTTATAGAGAACCCATCTCTAGAATATCCCTCACAAAACACAAACTGTGGTAATCTGGATGCATCATGTATAAAGGGCTACTAAGATGATTAGGGGACCGGAACATCTCTCTTACAAGGAAAGGTTGAGGCACTTGGATCTTTTTAGTCTAGAAAAAAGAAGATTGAGGGGGGATCTTATCAATACTTATAAATACTTAAAGGGAGGGGGCCAGGGGGATGGGAACAGTCTTTTTTCAGTGGTGCCCAGTGATAGGACAAGAGGTAACAGGCACAAACTTGAACATAGGAAGTTCAATCTTAACATAAGGAGGAATTTCTTCACTTTGAGGATGGCAGAGCACTGGCACAGGCTGCCCAGAGAGGTGGGGGGGTCTCCCACTCTGGAGACATTCAAACCCTGCCTGGAGTCCGTCCTGTGCAACCTGCTGTAGGTGACCCTGCTCTGGCAGGGGGGTTGGACTAGATGATCTCCAGAGGTCCCTTCCAACCCTGACCATTCTATGATTCTGTAATTCTGTAAAGTGTTTTTTAAAAAGTGCACTTTTTGTCTCCTTTCAGTAAAATGGCCCAGAGCAAAGCCTTAAAAGAAAAGTACCTAACATTTCTAATTTTTAAATAAAAGCTAAGACTAAACACCAGATGTAGGAAACGTTTTCATTAGAAAGGGAAATATACTAGGAAAAATGATTGATCTATGCAAAAGAGTTTAAAATATGTTTGGAGAAGTATGACAAACGGGGGAAACTCCATGAAATCAATAACTGATGAAGCACTGTATCTATGCAATGCAACTACTACCTAACAACCACAACTATCTCTAACAGATTTGTGATCTATGAAGAACAGGGTTCAAAATGGTTTTGCCTATAATTGCAAAAAATTCCCATAAAATATTATTTCCTTACGATTAGATTCTATTCAATAGTCTGATTTTACTACCTATTAACATTAGAAGTTCATAAAGTCATAGAATAGTTTGGGTTGGAAGGGACCTTTAAAGGTCATCTAGTCCAACCACCCTGCAATGAGCAGGGACAAGATGTATAGCACTTTTTGTTTAATGTTACCTATTTTCACACAACCAGCTTCCCTGTCAATACAAGGGTGACAAAAAGCCTTGATGTTACTTTTTCCTAAATGTCTGCAACATTTAATATAAACAATGGAAAAGCTTTTAAGGAGAGGTTCCATTCTAATTCTCCCTCATAAATATTCATAGTCCTGTAGTGTCAGGTAAAAGATGAGAAGCAGGTAAACAGATCAGAGCCCAGTGCAGTCCAAGTCAGCTTTTGCACATCTAAACTGTGAATGGCTAAAGTGCTATGCTATCCTTGGGGAAAGTATACCTCTCTCAGTGTTTCACTGGATCCAGGCTAGTTAGGTGTGGTTAACTAGCACAGGCAGCTCTTGTATTTATATGCCTGTACTGTAGCTAGAAGAAGCTGTTGTTGATAATAGCTAGCAGATCGGTTCATCAGCATCATGCAGACGAGCCCCGTGATTCCTGAGATGTACGAAAGCACCACAGGCTTGCTGCCTGCAAGTTCTGATGATGCAAGAAAAGCTTCCTACTGATGTCCTTGTTGTCAGCTGCTAAAAGTTAATTCTGGTTTAAATATAACACTGCAATACACTTAACACTTAATTTCAAAATTATTCTTTGTGTATCTTGTACTGCAATCTACCACTCTACCTGAAACCTACAGAAAAAAGGACAAAGACAATTTCACAGATAATCCTAGGTATAACACATCCCTTTTGAGAGACAACGCTTGGAAAGTTAGTGAAACAGAGAGGGGAATAGTCCTTTTCTCTCCCCCCATCGCCTGTTTCCAGAGGTTTTACCAAATCTTTGCCCTGACATTTATTGCAGGGCTTGCTCCAGCCTTTCAATAGGTCCTTTCCATAAAACTTGTGATGGATCTGATCTTGAACAATGGGAGGTGTACAAGGGTATGTCAATCACAGCTGTCAAACTGATCAAAAGCACTCTGTCTTAAGAATTCTGGTGTTTCAGTACTTTTAGCTTTGCTTGTGACATAA